ATTGTATTTATATTAGATTACATTATGATTATTTTTTCTATTTTTATTGTTATTATCATTATAATTGTTGTTACTTTTATTATTATTTCTTTTATTATTGTTATTATTATTATTAATTTTATTATTATTATTATCATTAATACTATTATTAGTATTATTATTATTATAATGATGATGATGATGATTATTATTATTATGTTTATGATTATCATTATTATTATTGTTATTATCATTGTTTTATTATCATTTTGATGATGATGATGGTAATTATTATCATTGTTATTATTATTATTATGATGATAATGTTATGATTTTTATTATCATGATAATTATTTTTATTATCAGGATTGATGATGCTTGGCAGCAGTAGCAGCAGTAACAATTATAGTCATTGTTATTGATATTGTCATGGTTATACTCCATCACCATCTTATTTATTATTGTTGTCATTCTTTATTATATTATCATTATAAATATTTATCATTATCACTATAATTGTTTATTATATTATCATTATAATTATTATGATTATTATTTTTTATGGTATTGATTGATGGTTTAATTGCCAGGAAGAAGCAACTTCAAAGAGTGAAGATGAAGAATCAAGTGACGAGAATTACCCAGAAGTGGTTGTTCTGTCTCGGAAAAAGGCAAGCAACAGGCGGGGTCCATGTGTGAGAGGTCCAGGAGTGGTGAGTCTTTTAATACCATGAGTGAGACAAATTGTAGAACTGTTAGTTTTATTATTTTATTATCTGAAGGGTGTTGTTTATTTATTTTTTTTTTTTTATTATTATTATTTTTTTTTAGTTATTCATTATTTCTCATATTTCATTTTATTATTTCGCTTTTTTCATATCTTTGCAGCAGTCTATGCCTAGCTGTATGATGTATACAGGACAAGCAATTGGATTTGACAGTTATGATGTCTCTGCCAACAATTATAACTTCCCAGTAAGAAAAATGCAATATTGTGTAAACATTATAGTTTATCTTGAGTTAGTAAATAATATATTAGCAAAGAAAATTCTCATTTTTGCCCAATTTCATGTTTCCAGCACATGCTAAGATGACCAGTAATTTATTCAAGTCTTACCTCACAACAGCTACCCTTTGATGAATTTCCTTGTTTACAGCCAGTGCAGCAGCAGATGTGCTCCCCTGGATATGTGACATACAAGTCTCCCCTCCATGCCTCATCTCCAGGATACCAAGATAATTGCCTGCCTGATCAGACTGACACTGGGTACATCATGGACTCGCCATTGTACCAACCAAATATGTCTCCTGCCAGTTCAGCCCTTGAAACTTTTCTGCCAAGCCCAATGTCGGTAAGGAAGGTATTCCTGTAGTAGTTATTTTGCCATGATATTATGAATAATGGATGTTAGTTTTTGAGTTTACTATGGAATTCCACACATAATAAATTAAATTGTATGAATCATTGTATGCCTCTAATTTTACACTTTATAGAGGTATATTGTTCTTTATTATAATTATGGTTGTGTATAGATATAATCATTTTTTTAGAGTGGAAGTTATTATCAGAATGAGATGAGTGGAGCTTCTCCAGGTTATGGCATGAATCAAAATTGTTATGAATTCCCTGATACCCCAAATTCTCTACGGGTGAGTTACCTGCTTCCTATAATCCATGTTACTATATTTTCCTTAAGAATTGATGATATGGTATATATTGTGTGTTTATTACTTGAATGCAAAAATTTGGATTTCATACCATTCATGGACTGTTCTTTCTCCAGGATGATAGTGAAGCAGTGCAAATGTTACCCACAGCAACAAGACAGGCTTCTGACTATGGCCAAATTCTGGAAAATCAGTCCTTTGTGTCTGAGCCTAGGAAGGATGTAGATATTGGAAGCATTTTAGAGGTAGTTAAAATTTGTATCCTATAGTGTACTTCATAAAAATAGGAAAAATTCATTAATGCACTGTTGTCATTTCTAAATGTATAAATATTTTTCAAATTGATCCATATGTGTATTTTTTATTTCACTGCAAACTTATACACTACTAGCTCAGAATGGTCCTATGATTTACTTTCCTTGAGTTATTTCATTTTTAATCAACCACTGACAATTCCAGTCTAATTACTTGGGAAAGAAAGGATAAATATCACAAATTTTATATGAACAGGCTATCTATAGAGTAGAGAACAAGCCACAGTCATCACCCATTCCAGTGGAGGATTTAGTTGAGATCACTAAGAACCTGCGGTCATGTGAACTTGCAGGTGTACCAAACTTCAGCAACTTTGGAGATGACCTTGAGGAAGTGAGTGAATATTTGGTCTGGTGACCTTTTTTGAATATTTGTTATAGATGTTATTACAAGTTGTGCTTATTATGCACTGGTTTGGTATCCTTGATAATTAGGACAACTTGCTTGACATCTGCATAGCCAATAGCAGTCTTTTATTGTTTATTTATACCACAGCTGATTGATGCTCTCTGATTGTTATTTTAGATCATTGGTAAAT